GAGGGGCGGAGCGGCCGAGGGGCTCTCAGTGTCGGTCTGGGTTCCCCCCTGCCCTTCTCCGCTGGGCACCGGCAGAGTCATTCGGACATCACACTGTCACCCCTGCGCTTTCCCAGCGTAGCTCGAGTTATCCCGCACCCCCGCCTGCTCCCACCCGCACTGCCCGCCTTTCGGACCGGGTTAACTGGCACCGGCCTGCGGGAGGGGACCCAGGCGGTCACGGGCCCTAAGTGCTGCCGGAGGAGGTGACTGACCCACGTGGGCCTGGCCTTAGGAGTCGTGATAGTAACTGCTGAACTCTGTGTAAATATAAAACTGCCGGGGGGTGTCACTGAGACGCAGAATAATTTCTCAGTCCTAAGCCGGCGGTACCTAGCTTGCAAACACTTCTGTTTTGTTTCTGAGAGGGGTGAAAAGGGAGTGTGGCCACTGGATTTCCTGACCAAATTCATACTTTTTGCTGCAAGTTTGCTAATTCTGTAGGTCAATGTTTTTTCCAAACGTCTTCGATCAGGACCTCCCATCTTCCCGTAATATTTTGGGCTGCTTTTTTGTTGGTGCATGTATTCCTATATTCTGACCACCCCAACAGCTTTAACTGCTTGCCCTAGAGGTAACCTGAGTGCAAAAAAAAATGGTGCTTTTTCTTCTTTGCTTTCAAACACCTCCGAACTCCAGCGTAACTGTCCTTGATTCCATCGATAGTGCTTAAATTCCGGATTCCCAAGTTAAGTAGCCTAACTACTGGCTGCATCTGGAGGTACATGTTCTGTTGAGAGCCATTGAAGTGCCGACAGAATTATTCCTTTGTTGTTGCTAGTCCTGGTGGTGGTCTTAACGATCTGCCTGAAATGCCTTTTGAGGTGCAGGCCCTTTCAGACTGGCCCATTTTGCACGTGTGAAAGTGAGGGGAAAAAAAGAAAGGCTCAGATATTCACAAAGTCTTTTAATGTTTTGTGTCTACAGTTCAGTGTTGTTCGAGAGAGCAGCTTTACTGAGGTTTATGTATATGGTACTGTTGTCTTTGCCTTTGAGGGCATGAAGAGACAGCACTAGGAGAAAACATGGGTAGCCCAGATGTATATCCAGCCTATCCTTATTGTGATACTGCATTGTTTTGCATCTCCCTTTGTCTGTCTTGAAAGCGTGGGACATGTTAGGATGGAACAGAGATAGTTTACAGTCCCCAGGTTTAAAATTGCTCAATAAAAAAAGCTAGTTCTTATGACTATTTGGTATAATCCATATCTTCTGCTCATACCAATATTCACAGGCAAAATTGTAGGTATATGTCATTTCTGGAAATAAATGCTGCTTTTTTTTTTTTCTTTGTGCATAAGTACCCTACATACTGGAAAGGCTACCTTCTTTCAAGGTTTTTAATGCATCCTATTCAATATTTGTTTCAGATTGTTGATATTATTGTTGGAAAAGATGAGAAAGGCAGAAAGATTCCAGAATATCTGATCCACTTTAACGGTTGGAACAGAAGGTAAGAACCTGTATGTGTGGTTTCAGTTCTTCAACTTTTTCATTGTGCGAAGGCGTTGCTCAGTATATCAAAGGACTTCAGTGTCTGCATGAATATTTTTGGTTTTTTGAATGCCTTTAATATACTTGCCTCATGTTGACCCATTGGTCTGTATCCATAAATTTTAGTGGATCAGTTTGATAGCCGTGAGTTTAAACTTAATGGAATATCTGTCTTTGGCACATGCTCATGGCTTCTAGGTTGCCATTAATAAAAGGAGTTTATACTTTGATAAATCTAGGCCTGGATTGTTTGGTTATCAAGGCCAGTCCATGAGTGCAGCCTCTGATCTGTAGCAAGTGTTGGTGGTATAAATGCTATTGCTTGTGAAGTCGAGGTTTGAGGGATTTTAGGTAGCAACACAGGAGTCGAAGGCATGTGATTACAAAAGGACGCAAAGCTTTTGTGATGCAGATGTTGCTTCTGAATGACATTAAAAGTGCTGTTTATATTTAATGTATATTAATTCATTAGTAAACATGAGTAGCATACGTTCGTGGCTGTTAATTTTCTTTTGACCTATCCTTAGCTGGGATAGATGGGCAGCTGAAGATCATGTTCTTCGCGATACGGACGAAAACCGCAGATTACAGCGTAAATTGGCACGGAAGGCTGTGGCTCGCATGTAAGAAATCCTTTTGGTCTCCACGTGAATGAGAGATTCATTTTTGGATTCAAACAGATACATCCGTGTGTCTACAAGTGAGCTTGTCCTCTAAGCTCGTGCTGTAGATGGTAGATATCTACTCAGTACAGTCAGTGCATTCTAGAGAGCTACTCTTCTCATACCAAGGTAGATATCTACGTATTGTTATTAAACAACACTCTAAATGACTGACACTTAATAACTATGTTATTCTTAACCATTGCTGCGAAATCCCTGTGTATTGGATCTACATCTTCCCAAAGAAATGTACTTGAAAAATAACTTAGGAAAACCTGAAGTATTTTTCAGCCAAAGGCAATAATCTAATATTGGTTGGCCATGGCTTGAGGATCTGCTTGAGAACACGAATATGAGGTAATGTACAGACATTAAGGTATCCACTCTCAAATAAGCATTGTCCAAATTATTTCAGCATTAATTAATGAAAATAACGTACGTTTCCTGTGCATTTGCATGTAATGTAATTAGCTAGGATAAACAAATGAAATCATGTTAGCCAAATTTCAGTGAACCATTTTATGTTCTCTAGGAGAAGAAAGGGAAGAAAGAAGAGACGTTGCAGGTTGCCTGGTGTTGACTCTGTATTAAAAAGCCTTCCTGCAACCAGTGAAAACTGTGAGCTTGTTTTCATTCTTTGATAACTGGCATGATGCCTTCAACTTTTTGAGCTAGATGTACGGTGCATGGTGTAACTGGCTTTTAGGATGACACGAGAGTATCACAGTCCTGTTTGAAATGCACAGAGGCACTCATATGAAAAGTGAGCACTGTGTTTCATGCTACGCCTCTCTTAAGTTATCTTCTTTCTTGTGTTCTGGAGACTTTTCCTTGTGTCTCTTCAGCTCAACTAATCTAATCAGTGATTTCAGAGCTTAATGCTGCTTTGGTTAGTGTAGTATTGAGGTGCACGAAGCCCTCAGTTTTCTTCCTTTGCTGTTAGGGAACAAGGCACTCCTTGCAAGTGTTTCTACATATTATAGGGGGCAATAATGTTTTTTTTTCCTCAGTCTACCTTGCACAAAAGTCTGTTTCTTGTCAGCTGACTGGCCGATTTGACTCTTAATCTACCTCTCTAATTTCATACCTTTTTTTTTTTGTAGCTTGAAAACC